CCACAGTGCTGTCATGTGAATGGTCAGATATACCAGTGGATTCAGACAGATCAAACAGATCAGCAGGAGTAGGTCAAGATGGATTTTGTGAGTTTGTGAACCCAAAAACATTGCAAAGATTAATTTTGCTGCCCAAGGTAAGCAGTGAGTGCTTAGAAAAGTTATAATTCACACACCTTGAGTTGGGGTAGAACTACCTGAGGTCATCTTTTTAAAATAGCAGACCAAGGCCAGTGCACATTTTGGTATGCTGTGTAAGCATCAGGGGATTCAGAACATGCACTTTCCTCAAATGGCTGTAGCCCAAATTTACAGTGACAACCCATCCATCCACAGCCTCACAAAAGCTTGAAAAGATTAGGCATGACTCATTGGGTATTGTATAACAAATAGACCAAGAAGCTGGTGCAGAGTCTACAAAAACAAGCGTCTGGACTCAGATTTGAGACTTCTCTTGATGTGTACTTGTGAAATGATGCAGTGTATTTAGTGTGGAGGTGCAGAGGCTGCAGATAAGCGGCAGCTGTACATGACTGCTGCTCACAGCCCTGGGGTGAGCCATATGCTGACAGAGCAGGGTGTCAGAGAAAACAGCCTGAAGACAGATGAAAGTGGGCTTGAACACAGCCAGGGTTGACCTGCAGCGCTCCTGCTGTAATGAGACCACCAGATAACAGGGCCACTCTGCACAATGACACGCCTGTCATACTAATCACAGCCCGATGTCAAAATATTGTATACTTCCTCCAGCAGCTCCAGGTCAGGGACTTAAGCGATGAGAGTGTGAAGGAGGGGTTTGAGCCGAAAATGGCTGTTCTCTTTTGAAAAGGTCTAAGGCAATGACAGAGGGCCAATGGGGTCAATGGCCCATCTGATCATGCACTGATGCTACAGGCGCACAACACGGATTCACACCAAGCTGACACACAGTGAGAGTGTGTAACACTTACAAAACTCGCCAGCATCTCCTCAGTTCAGTAGATGTTTTCAACTCATGTTTAAACTGAATAAAAGCTCATGCAAGTTCGTCCTCTATCTAAGCTCTGTGACAGATGAGGGATGAAAACCAAGATTTCAAGAACGTTTGCCATGGTGAATCATCTCTCAACCAATTTGCTGAAACCATTTCCATATTGCCCTAATTCCATTAGCCTTCCCAAAATGTCTTCTTGCCATTTCTCCACTGGTTTAAATGATTAAAAAGACTGCCATATCAGCTGCCATAGTTTGCAGCATTTCAGTAAAGCCCCATGACTGGACACAGTGGAAGTCTGTCAGGTACTCAGAACCAAGAACCCTCCAGCTCCAGGGAGCAGGGCCTTCTTGTATGGATTTACATGTATGGAGCTACAAAAGACTTAGCTCACTTAGCTCACTTCATGTCAACCACCAAAAGCTCTCGGTGGTGGAAAGTGTATCCAAGAGGTAGAATTAGGCCAGGAGGGGTTCAGACAGAAAATCCATCGCACAAGCTTTCCCGTAGTAAGAACTGAATTTGTACAGATGTGTAACCTGCAACACGTCAAGAGAAGACAGAAAGGCGTTTACTCAAGACTTATGTTTGAGTCCCAAGAAATAACTGAAAAAATATCAATCATCCACATTCAAACTGCAATCATGAAACTGAGAGCAGCTAAAGAAAATGGCATTTCTTTTCTCAGAAGGAATACCATGTATATAGGCCGGTCACAAACAAATTATGAAGCTCAATATATTGGTACAGAGAAGTACTGCGGTAAAAAATGACATTGAAACTACTTTATGCTACTGACACAACAACAATAATCTAACATAATTCCAGTAAACTATTTTTAAATAAACAGAAGCGTTCAAAGAGCTGCAGCAAAAAGCTATCCTACACTCTACAGCTCAAAATTTATTAAATTACAACAAAAATACCCATAATCTCCCCACTTTTATAAAGAAAACATACACATGATGAATATTGAGCCCCAAATATATGGTCCCAGCTTTAATTTATTGAATGATAATTTCTTTTTTGGTAATTTTTCAGCTATATGGCAAGCTTTGAGCCATAGAAGGTTGAATTAATAACGTCTGTGACCCATTACAGATGCAAAGTAAGCAATAACGTGTTTCAAGCTGCTATTTATTAATTGTAGCTTGTGTTTTTTAAGAATATTGTAGAATTAGAATAGTTTCGTGGCATAAATCTGCCCTTGGGTTATTGCAAAAGTGGTATAAATGTGTTCCAATATTATCCTTTATCATTTATAATTTCTTCAGCAATATATCGTGCTTGAAAATGTGTTATCGTGACAAGCCTATCCATACAATCCTCAAAACACACCTCTCTTGTAAATAACAAGTACCACTCATTTTCACCAATCTGCATCAGAAACCATCCAACATTTGCTCAGCTTCTTGTCTTTTCCAATCCCTCTAATAACAAGTTGAAAAAGTGTTGCTTTATTAAACATTATGGTAGGAGAGTCCTATTAGCGACAGACTGCCATGTTAGGTGTATAGTAGCAGTGCTTATGATGAATGAGGCTTCTAGCACTGTAAGCCTGAGCTGTTTACGCTTCCCCCCGGAGCAAACTTTTACTCACACGACTTCACTAAATCATCCAAATTGACAGAATCATAGAAGCTGGAAGTACAACCTTGTTCATATCTCAAAATCTCTCACACTTTGAATGCAATTTCGCACAAGATGAACTACCCAAGTTGCCTCCTGCGTATTCCCAAATGTGAGTGGTGAGCACATTTCTGTTGGCATTTCACAGGTTAGGCAATAGATCATCTTTAACTTAAATATCCATCAACAGCAAAATAACAATCGCATTGTAGGGAGCAGTCTAAGCGCCATATAGAATTATGGATCTGCTGGAGAAACGCGTCAGTGATCGTCCGCCTGCTCACTTTGAATTCTCTCTCAAAACCACTGGGCGTTGCTAAAGGTGCGTTGTGTAACTTTTTAAATGCATTTCTCCGTGGAGACGTTACTGCTTTGTCTGGAATGTTTCTCAGTATGGCATTAAACCTTTCTATCTTCACGGAGACGAACTGGACCAAGTTACAGGTCAGATCTGTGGAGAGGCAACCCCGCTCAGTCAGAATGCATGTTTTTCTAGGTGTTTTTGAGAGCTAAATCTAAGGTAGAGCTGTTTACTGTCCAGATCCCTTTTTTTAAAGACCTTTTTAAGACCACTTAAATGAAAATTAAGACCAACATCACACCCATTATGTAGGTGAAAAACACCACATTAAATTTTAATAATAATGACCAACCAAAAACTATATCTGGAACAGGGGTGATCACTTTTTCAGCATGTGAGCTCCTTATAAAATGACCAAGTCAAAATAATCGACCTACTACAAAGCCAAGCAAACTGTACTGCACTTAAACACTCTGTGCTTCTTTTTTGGACCCTCACCCACAATTTGAGAACCCTTTCTTTAAGAGAACTTCCACTGGCACTTTACAGAAAACTGAAAAAAGTGAAGAAAGTGGGTAGGATTTTTAAATCTGTTTTTTCAAGTTCCAAACTAGAGTTAGATTATCTTACTGGTTTTACAGTGGGATTTAGCCTCTGCACATTCACTAAATTAAACACACATAGTGACAAACACAAATTTGCATTTGTGCACTTTTATTTGGCAAACTTCAGCCACATGTCATGGTAGATCTGTTTTGTGCCAACATTGTAACATACATTTAGATTAGTTTTTGCTTAGCATTTCGTCTTGCTCTTCTAATCAGCACTTCTGTGTGAAGCCTGTGTGCATGTACACAGGGAGGAGCAAGAGCATGAAAAGACGAGAAGCAGCGCGCTGACGTGAAGCAGATGGACAGGTAGGATGTTTTAAAAAGTTTAACCTGCTCTGTGATACATGCTGGTACATGAGGGCACACGCTGTTGCAAACAAGCCAAGTGCAGGGAGCGTGTGTTTGTGATGTGCCACACATTATCCACGGGTTCCAAAAGGGCACACAGGCTACTTTAACATTGCACTGCAGTATACAAAAAAATAGGCTAATGAAATTTAAGACCTTTGTGAAAAAAATAAGATTTCGACAACATAATCTAAGACTTTCTAAGACCTTAATATAGGAACATGAAATTTAAGACCTTTTTAAGACTTTTAAGACCCTGCATCTACCCTGATGTCATACTGTGGAATATTTCAGGCAGAGCAATGACATCCATCCATAGAAACAAGTGAATCTCCAACCAAAAAGTGGCATAGTGCACCTTTAAAAGTAACACAGGATGTAAAGTACAGATAGACCTGCACTACATCACTCCTGGAGGCAAAAAAAACAATTTTTAAATCATGGGCTGAGTTGTGATGGTGGGAGGATGACACTTTTGAAACTGCTGTGACCTGTCAGGAGTATAATTAGTTTCATGGAGAGGGAAACGCAGCTTTAGACAGAATCTAATTAAAGATACATGTAAAAATTAATAGCTCGCTGTCCCTTCATTCCACTGACATTAAGTCATTGCCGGTCTGTCACTGATGATGCCTGCTGAGGGCAAAACACAATGTACTCAATCCATCACAAAGCACAGACCATGTTTTCTAACTACAAACTAATCAGACAGTCAGGCGCGTCTGTCTGCAGCCGGTACACAGGAGTTCACATGAAAAAGCACTGTAGAAGCTTCGCACCACTTCTTACTTGAGTGATAAACTGTTCAGAGGATACAGCGTCTTTTCTATCAGATGAGGTTTTAAGTCTGAGTTTTAAGATTTCAGAAAGATTGCATATTGCAAAAATGAGGCATAACATTTTAGACAATTACTATCAGTTGCATCAGTGTGTGTTTGATAAAATTCTCTGACATACTATGCTAAAACTTTTGAAGCCTTTGTAAGCATGTAGTTTCCTCACAAACATGTACAAGTGAAGAGTTTTTTTTAATTTAGTTAAAAATGTGAAATACCATGCAAAACTACTGCACAGTATGACACAGAGCATAGTAAATGTATGATCAAATGAACGTTGATGAAAACACACTGAGTCTTACCTGCGTGACCAGGGGCTCCAGCAGCCGCTCCACCGTCAGGGTGCGTATTTCCAAACTCTTTGGGTCCCATTTTAACAGAATGGGGGATGTGGCAGCTGTCATGGTATCTGTTGGGAAAATAACACAGCATTAGGCACAGCGCTGTTTAGGTGAAGCCAGTATTGTATTGGGGGTTTGGGCCAATCAGCTTTGTAAATACACATTTGTCTTTCAAACGATGGAGCCCAGGGTTATTTTGGGTGAGGCTGAGACAGGACGGTTGGCATTTGGATGGCAGTATGTTGTTACCGAGAGGATGCTTGTACAGTAAGCAGTTTGAGAATGGACCATCTGGGAATGGCATAGTCCATTGCCAGTGTCAATGAGGCAGAAGGGAATAAAGAATGTGGGCACAATGACAGATCTGGGCCAGAGGTCTTTCTCGACACACAGTGGTACAACGCAAGCACCTGGCACCACAGACCTGCAGCAACAGCAGCAGCAGAGGTGCAGAGATGCTACAATGCAGAGGCTCCTGTGTGTGTGTCAGCTCTGGACCAGCACAGCACTCTGCAAAAACTCTACTAACAAAGCAACCAACATGCTGACGGAACTCATAAACTCATTATACGCTCTCAAAGACACAATTATACTGTGTCCTGGTGTATTCTAATAACAGTATTTTCCCACTCTGTTGTCTGTGCGCTATGCCTCAGGATCAGTTCTTTGGGGGAAGGACTGTTTCAGAAACTTTGCTTCAGGATAACACAAAGCTCTGGGTGGAAAATAGGTCACGTACTACAGCCGTGTACAAGTTTAGGAGTGGAGTCACAAACCTTCATGAAGGATTGACTTCTCACTTATTTCAGTTTATCAATGTATTTAGAATGTGCCAGTTTTTGCCAGCTTGATCTTTGCTACAAGACACTGAAATACAAGGATCTGGGATAGTGTCATGCAGCTGTTTTCCTATAATTCTTAGAACACAAATTTGACTGGAAGAAAACATTCCTGTCAGTAGCTTGAAGCTTCTCTTAGTTATTACCAAACAAAACACTTTGCAAATGGCTATGTCTTTTAGCCTCAGTTTCTACTCAATACACTGCATAATGTAAAATTTTTGCAGAGAGGCAACTCCACTTTTTTCAGAGCAATAAACTCAAAGTAAACACAATAAGATTTTTTTCTGTATATTTTGAGCTAAAAAGTCTTACAGTGCGTCTTTAACCAGAAAAAATAAAAGTAGACTACATAGTTCATGATAATTATGTGCCAATATCCCAAACATATAATTTTTACTAAAGTTATCATTGCTTTTAAAAAGGCCTTTACATTTTGAGTCGCTCACTTGTTCCAGAATTACCTGCAGACACAATGTCAATATTGTGTGGTTGTCAATATTGAACTACATCTGTATTCTGTTCTGCTATGGCTGTTTCTACATTCAGAAAATTAGTTTGGAAGAGGAATTAAAACTTCTATAATCACTAAACAATGGGAGAAATATCAATACATTCACATCAGTACGGAATTAAGTGTAGCTATAATGGCACACGCAATTTGGTTTATTATTAGCAATGATAACATCACTACTCAAACATAAGGAACTCACAAACTGCAGTTCTATCAGCTGTTTCTTTTAGTGATGTCACATAACTTTCTATTCTAGTCTATTTTGATACTAAGGAAAAGGCTCGATACTCCAGAACATAACTCACAGAATAGTAGCTTCTTTAATATTGTGGTCATTGTTTTCTGAAAGGGTTTTATGATATATTTTTTCAGTATCAATATTTCAAACTACTTCTACTACTGTCTACTTTAGTTTTAGTTATTGCATACTATCTAGGTATAGGTTTCTTGATAATAGAATAAAATCAAATAAAAGTTTGTGGAAAAAGCAAAGAACTCTCCTAAGAATTATGCTCCACAAAAGCTCCCTAAATGACAGCCTTCTCTTTCAGCATCTGAGTATGCCTGCCACAAGCTGCCACCGCCAATAAGTCTGTTCATTTGTCACCGAGTGTGGGCTCTTCTTGATACGCTTTGTTTTTTATTGGCCATTAAACTATATTATTACCTCTGCTTCTGCCTCAGTCAGCTCCTAGTAGAAATAATGCTGATGATGGAGCCGGGAGACAACAGCTAACAAATGTAATTACCTCACAGATCCAGGTGGTGACGGGGTTTGTGTTGTGTTTAAATTATATTGGCTAATCAAAGGGCTACTCGAACTTTGAGACGGTTTTCTTTACTGCAAATGACTTCTCTTTTACACACTGGTTTGTCAACATCCAGAGGTCTATTACTCAAAGCAGCAACTCTAAACATTTTGTACGAGCGGCCGTGTTGGAAAAGAACCTTATATAGTTCAGCATATATCTGAACACATGGTTTTCTTTCTATCTCTTTATCTCACAGTGGTGGTGTTTGCCCTCAGTCCCGGGCTCTTGAGTTCATGTGGTGATGCAGCATTGGCACAGATCTGAACCTCTGTCCACACTGTGACAGCTCCAGTCTGCAAACTGTCATATCAGAGCTCCCAGACTCAGCCTGCACCCATGGGACTAAACAGGATGATCAAAGTGCAGCACAAGCTCACAGTTTTCACCATTTAACAACATGAAGCACATCTAAACACTTAAGTCATGGTCTGGAACAACAACAGAACAGTCAGCAAAAACATATATTGCCGCTACTGCATTATGTTGTTGTGTCCAAGGGCAACACACTTTGCCTGTGTCACACTGGTGTATGGTTTCTTGTGCTATTGTTGTTCCACTTAAAGTTTATTGCATCAAGATAAATGTAACTATTTTTGCAGTAGTGTTTTTCCCAGCATAAAGAGGAGCAAACACCACAGTGTGGAGTAGAACTGTGATCACACAGAGATGGAGTAATGAGTTAATAGTGCTTTCATTGCTGTCAGGGCGCTGAATGGGACCATGAATGTCATCTGACATAGCATTATGTCCCTTTGGCCTGGACACAATGGAAGCCTTCATTTGACAGACATCAGCACACTTTCTCCATGTGGTAGCGCTGTGATCACTGTAAACACATCACGCTCTTTTGTCCAAATGACACATCTGAAAAGGGAGTGGGGTTTCTGACAGCAGAGCACAAAGAGTTTGGACTAAATCTCATCACTGGCTCCATAAATAAAGAGCTGCCATGTAATTATGTGACATGTGGATAAAAGACTAAACAACTGTTGGTCGCTGCATTAGTCATGCTGACAAGAGCAGTGGGATTAACCCAAGTGCGCTGCAGCGGGCTGGGCCTGACATGAGTCCAGTGGAAGTGGGTCAATCCTAAACTTGAGCAGATTATAATCCCACATCAGACTTGGGGCTGGTGGGATGCTCTGCGGCTCAGAAGGATGAAAAGGACAGCAGTCACTTCCACACATGTCCCATATTTATGTCTGCACAAGACCAGTGTCTGTTTGTTCAGGTCAAATCCATTTGTGCGTTAAAAGAGGAAACACTTGAGCTAGACTGGTGCTCAATATAGTATATAGAGTAAATGCATCTACACAGAACTATTAATATGTCGCTTAGGGTGTATTCAGAGCAGAAAAGTACCAGTAAGTGCACTTGTTTGATCCAAATCAAATGCAGACTTTTTTTTGGGTTGGTGTGTATCGTATTTTCACCACACATTTGGGAAGTGGACTATAAACAGAAAACAAATAGAGGCCAATGCAGCCTTCATTAGGCTCTGATAAGTGTGAATTTAAAAAAAGACAGAAGCACTATGACGCTGGCTTGTCAAGTCCACAAATGTGCATGTTTTCTGTGTTTGTTTCAGATGGAGGCTGCTTGTATTCAGACCATAAGCGAACCACAGCGAAGTTTGTTTGTTCCAGACCAGAGTTCTCTTGTCTTTATTCACGCGTGAAATAAAGTCTGAACTTTCAGGGGAACCAAACTCTAGTTTATTTTAATCGGACTTAAGCCCATAGGTGTGAATAGGCCCTTAGTACACCTCCCACAGAGTCGTTGCTCCTAAAGTTCAGGCCTAGTCTCAAACTGTACGGTCTTATCCAAAGACACATCTTGAAGCCACACTACAGAAAATAATGCTTCATTTTGGGACTTGTGGAAAATAAGGTTAGTATTTTTTTTTTTTTTTGCAACCAGAGGGGTTTGGCTTCCTCTCTTTTAATGGGATGAAAAGAAGGCTTCTGTAGCTTCTGAATCTCTATCATCAATATGCATCTTAAACAGAAACAACCTGGAGACACAGTAACATTTTGGGCGAGAATATAACATAACGTGCATTTTCTGTGCATTCATAGAAACTCAGATTCCATCTTACTATTGCTTCTAGCAGAACGATAGGAAAAATAACATTTTATTGTGCGACAGCAGGCCAATTGTGTAGAGAAATATCTATTATAGTGCCTCTTGTGCTATGACATGTACAGATCATCCCTGAACATGTCCTGTACCAAGACAGACTAAGACAGCTGCTAGATTGCCTTTGGTCAGAAGGGTCAGAAATATAGATTTTTTTCTGTTGGGTGAAGAAAAGCTTCACTCAACAATAGAAAAGTTAATGCAGCAAGAAGATGGAGCACACAGTGTGGGGGAGGAGCCTGTCCTGGCCCCACATGTAGCCTGTGTGTGTGTGTTGGTGTGGAGGGGACACAACATCTCTGATCTCAAACATTCTGTGCGCCTATCTGCAAAACTGTTAAATGTCAGTCGGTGTAAAATATGAGTCCATTGAGATAGTGTTGTAGTAGTGCAAATGTAACAAAACAGGAGACAAAAACAAATCATATATAAAGTTAATGCTTGTGTCAGGTCTTCTAGTGGAAATGCAAGAGAGTGTGTTGAAACAATGCAGGTTATCTGTTCGTATCTGCTGTTTCAATAAGACAATGACATGTGACCATCTGCTGCTGACAACTCTTTGTGTCTGAATCAATATCTCCTCAGTGGGACAGTGGTAGCTACAGAACAGAGGGCCTGTTAGATCCACTGTCTCCTAAATGTTTCTTTTCATATATTTCAGTCAGATCAGACTGACAGACACGGCACTCTTTTTCATCAGAATTTTAGTCACTCAAACCACATATTAAAAAGGTCCAATTACACAATATTGACTTTCCTTTATTATTATTAGTCTGGCTACACATTCAAAGCTCAAAATGCTCTGTTCCACCTTGTGATGTCATGAAGCAGTAGTTTTCAAGTTAACAGCTACAATTTACCTTTAGTTCAGTAGAGATTGACAATTAAAACATTAAATTATCCAAATGATTCTAGAGAAGAAGTGTTTTCAGTTTGAGAAAAGAAGATTTGTGTTAATCATGAGTGAACAAAACAAAACACAACTCCAGGTATGTTTTTGACAAGGACAAAACATTATAACACAGATCAGAAAATAGAGTAATATAAACAAGTTCCACAGGTTTATAATGAATCAAAGAAACATGTTTCATTCATCATTCATCATTCATCTTCTGTGGATAATCCCAAGCAAAATAATGACCTCTCAGAGACAATCGAGCCTCAACAAGTGGCGGATCCTCTACCAGAAATGTTACAACAGTGCCCCTTTAAGTCATAAGCTTATTTTACAACTGCTCCCTTACAAACTAAACTAACCAGACAATTTCATAAGTAAGGACTGAAACTACTTTTTGCCTTTTACTGGATTTCTGTAATGAAAAACAAACAAACTCAAGCATCCAGTATAAAAAGTCAAACTATGATTAGTTACAATAACATTTAGTAGAACTTTGCACCATATTCCATCAATCTCACAAAGTGTCTATAGCTGCGTTCACTGCCTAGTATCGCCTGTTAGTGTCCCCTTACATAAACGTTATCCAACCACACCCACTCTCTGTGTGCGGCGCTCGCTGGATGGATGGCACAACTAGATTGATTTAGTGGTGGTGCTGCGCGGCGCGACAGTTTGAGCGCTGCACATCCTCCTGGTTAGAGTTAATGGGGTTATGAGTGGACTAAAAAATGATTAAGACAATGAGCCACTCTCGCTCACTGCACACACAGCTGCTGACACCAGACTTTCACCACTTTATTGTCCCTCGTGCAACAATAAAGGGCCTTTTTCATTCTGCTCCACTGAGTGATAATGGCACACAAGACAGATAGGAGAAAGTAGAACATAGTAGGATTTGCGCAGCTAGCATCTGGTGGATATAGCCCCATAAGAGACAAAGGAATGGATCTAAAATACATATTGTTCTGAATGTGGGCGGGTATTCAGCGAGCATTCACAAGGACAGCTATATCCCGTGGTCACTTTCTTCTACCGCCATTATAGATCCTATGTTTCAGACAGGGAAGTTATTATAGCAGGAGCACCAGACCTATTCATTTGCACTTTTCTAAAACTTTGAACAGAGTGAAAGTGCTCCACAAAGCTGCGGCAGAGGTAATGGTGTTCCAGCGCGTGGGGGTGCCATGGCTACGACGTCAACAACAGGGGCTTTCTCGGTGCTCAGCCAATATCACTTCCTCTCCCGGGAGACGGTCGGCACAATGCACCGCTGACCGCTATTGACTGCATACTTTCACACATAAATTATGGAGAAATCATGGAGAGGAAGAATATGTGAAGATTTCCAACTATACTTATTTCAGTTGTAAAATAGAAAGAATACGCTACTACGGGGTGCACAAACTCGGAAAACAAACACTAACGTAAACAATGAAAAGAGTAACTACAATATGGACTTATTGTTGAATATATCAAAGTTGGGACATATATTTTGGGGCTCTAGATGTATCAGTGTACATTTTCTTTGTAGAAGTGGGGAGATCTATTGTAATACAATGCAATTTGAGTTGTAAAAGGTTGAATCTGTGACTTCTCTGGCTAATTATTAGTACATTCTGTAATTTGTAGCAGCTCTAGCCTTTTTAATAATACCATCTATTTAAAAGTGGTTTACTATGATTATCTTGCAAATTGTTGTATTGTATTAGTGGCATAAAGTAGTTTAAATATTATTGTTTATAGCAGTATATCTCTGTAGCAATATATCATACTTCAAATTTGTTATTGTGACAAACCTAACCAAGAATGCTTCATGAAATAAAATATTTTATAATTTTTGTAATTTCAAAGCTTTGAGGTTACAAGTTCCTCTGAACAGTCAAAACTGAGACTAAACCTGGAATAAATAAAATACAATCTCAGTGTACTGTTTCTTTAGACAAAATACTTTGGCTTTTAGATTATTTTCTATATTGTGTGGCAGGAATATTTCAAAATAGTTGCTTGCTTGATATTAACATAAGAGCGTGTTGGGTGTAGGTGTATGGGCAGATGGGAAAATACACATTATATAGAAATAACAGCAAAAAAGTATCCATGGATTTACTAGTATTGTTGTAGTATTGACTAAACATTTTCCATAGAAGATGGATTAAACAGATGGGAAATTAAAATCTTAAGAGGTTTTTCACTGCACAAAAAAGAATAGCATTTGGAACAAACTTTGCTGAACATTCTATTCTCATAAAAGGCGCAGTAGCTGATTTTACTGTCTTAAAAAAAATACAGAACTAGCTCATTTGAAACAGTTTGCAGAGGTCCAAAGTTATTCCTCAGTTACCTTCGGCATTCCAAGCATCCTAATTATTCACTGCAATGAGAAAACTAGACCACAGTTTTGCCGTGACGGCAAAGCTAACAACAAGCAACTCAACACACACTTTCCGATTATTGGACAATAAAAACGTTTTCTAATTAGATGCAGACAGCATGCAGAGCTGCTTACACCATTCATATGGGGACATTTTGTGTAAATATGTGGGGAAAAATCTGGTAGAAGCCTTTTAACATGAGATTTAAATACACTTTCAAAATGACCATATTTCAAAGCCTGATCCTCACATGACGTTTTAGTTTTTTGTGCGTAGTGTTGTCCATGGCCAGGCTTGACATGCATGTTTACGGCTGACACTTGGTATGCCTTCTGCCATCACAACTTCTGATTCTAAATACAGCCTGAGTGTGACGCCTCCAGAGGCTGCAGCAGTCCAGATCTTGTTTCAGGGGGTGTTGTCAGATACAGTGGGTCAACAGAGCACAGAACTGCACTACAGAAAGCAGTATATGATGACTAATGTCCTCATGACAAACAAGCCACAATGAGACCACTGAACTGCAGTATGTTCTTCAGGAGATCTTTCATCTATGAAATGTTTTACGTACTAGTGTTTCTGAATTAAATATTAATACTAAAAATACTAAAAACTAAAGTCACAGTTGGGATAAAATTAAAATAACTACAATCTTTCAAACAGACAAGGCCTACACCATGTTGATTAATGATGGTTCGATCAGTTGTAGCTTAAAGTGGCCTTGAGCCACATGAGACAATGGGTAATGGCAGTGCCAGATCACAAAGCAAAAAGGACTGCTCTGATGCTTTATCTCCCAGAGCTGAGGAGGAGACCTGGGACACTGTGGAACTATTAGTCTGATCAAGTTTGCAAAAGGCGCGTGGGTAAGACTGTTCCAAAGAGGGAGGCAGGTGTTGGACAAAGAGCTCCAGAGCCCGTCCACACCACACAGTCTGTGGTCCACACACAGTCTGTGGTCCACACTCACAGGACTGTGGACATGGCGGACAAACATCGGCTGTAAACAGCGCTGATTGCTCATTAACAAAGACCCAGACCTGTGTGGGACAGTGATTTGACGCGCACGAGTGTTGGGCTAGCAGTGCTAGTGTGCTAACATAGCAGCTTAGCATTAGTCTGCCCGAGTGCTCCTCCACAGAGCCGGGGAAGTCCTTCAGCACTGGCTCCCTGGATAGCTCAGCCTCCATGCAAAGAACATTAGCAGGTGCTGTGATTTAGCTAAGCAAGACTAAGGCAGCTCCGCAAACAGCTGAAGCTGAACAAAATGAACGTTTCATACACTGAAGTGTTGACTATATTTTAGACATTTTCCCAGTCCCTCGCCAAAGCACGTTGTTAATAAAAAGCCGGACCTCGCCTTAGCTAACGCTAGCAGTAACATGAGAGCAGCGCACTCGGTGCAGCAGCAGCAAGTGTATGTATGCTACCCACAGATCCATGATGCTACCAGACAGTTAGCACAGACCCCAGCAGCATCCTACCCTACCCCGTACGTACCGCACTCTGCAGGAGATCACTCTTCTTGTACGGCTGTGAACTCAGTGAAACGCCGGTATTCCCACTAAAATAGTCCTCTTCTTGAAATATTCCACTCGGAATAGTGGAAATTCCTCAATCTGGACGCTTTCCTCAATGATGTGGTGCTGAAGCTGAATGAGGCTACACGCTTGTGTCGGTGTTACGGAAATGCCTCCTCCTCCTACAGCTCGCTGCTAAATAATGCCCCTCCCAGCGCTCCGACTGCTGTATGGAGAGAGCAGGTGCAACTGAGGGTGCGCCAGGCACGGCTCACTCTGCGATATAGTGCGCCGGATAGTGCGCCGGGCTGGTCCAGGGGCTCGGCAAATCAGGGGCGGCTCCGTCATTCACGCATGCGCACTCGCTGTGTGAGGATGCGCCCGTGGCCACACAACAGATGCAGGGTGATGTCCTGTGGCTTTTAATGTACAGAAAAGCAACAGTAGCATCTAAAGATGACAAATGCAGTTAAAAAATAATAGAGATTGTGGTTCTATTGGGCTAGATCAATACACAACTAATTAAGGCTAATAGTAATGGTCCAAATTAACACTACTCTACATCAGCCTATTTGCAAACCTGATGCTATATTTAGTTCAGAGATCAGAAAGTAAAAGTAGTGAATCCAAGAAACAAGAAGCACAACTCTTCTAATCTTTCTTACTTTGAAAAACTAAAATTCTCAGAGGCTTTACCCAGACAGGCATTTCCACAGTATTCCCTTAGGGTGGTTCACAGGAGATATCCCCTTTAATCAGAAAGTTGCAGTCAACAGTGATCCCTGGTATCACAGATCCTCACCAGACCTCCTGGGGCAGTACTGAAATGCATGGAAGTACTTTTCAGCTATAGGTTCACCTCTGCCCAAAGCTCATACAGATACAGGTGAACAGTTATGACGGCAGAAGTATGTTTACACTTTCTATATTTGCTATACATACAGAAGACAAATATATGAGGTAAGATGTAAGGAATTATGTAGCAAAGAGGAAAAAAAGTTATATACTTCTACTATGTTTTTTTTTTCTATAGTCAAATCCTCAAATTAGCCACCCTTTGTCGAAAAATACTTTTTTCTTTACTAAATAAGGTCATATATCTTGATTCATATACAGTAAGGCTATTTAATGTTTTCTGTATACAGTAGGGGTGTAACATTATTCAAGTCTCACAATACAATATTGTCACGTTTAAACCTCACGGTAGGATATTTATTGCAATATGGTGGGGAGGCTCACGATTAGGGATGTAACAATATCCAAATCTCTGAATACGATATTTTCACGATATACATCTCACGGTACGATATTTATTGCAATATTTTGTGGAGGCAAAACTGTTAATATTCTACTTTTTCCTCTTGAAAATGCCTTGACAAAACTTAATCCAAAGAACTAAGACTTAAAAGTGCTTAAAATTGTTATTTCTTCATGTCGTCTGCACTGAAATGGAGCAAAGGATCATGGTCTATGTAGTTCCCTCTGTCTTTTTTTTAGCTGTTGCTGCACTATAACTCTTCATTTAAGCAAAGAGACTTGTGATTCGATATATTGTGATGCTCCACGATATTATTGTGAGAACTTTGACAATACAATATCACAATATTTAGATTATGGTTACATCCCTAGTATTTAGCCAATATAAAATATAGAAAGTAGTGTCAAAACTTTTGACTGGTAGACTACACTGAGATGTACTTAATGTATTCAAATCTAACATATATTTGAAAATTAAATAATAGAAAAGCACTGGATAATTGACAACAACATTTCTCACAAACGTTGCATGAAAGAACTAAGCTTTGAATAAAATTGTCTTATTTACAGTGTTGTTCTTGTTATAATATTTTGCAGGTGTTTACATTGGGGAAAGTATGGAAATCCCTTTCTTGATGGGAAAACTTTGCTCTGTCCAAACACATGCATTGTCTTTTACTCCAGTGTATTCCATTGTCTTGTGGGAAGAAAAATGCCAGAACAGCAGTCTATTGTCTTGCATATGCTTGTGTTTTCAGTGCATGGAACACCACACCGAGCGAAGCAGCCATTCTTCAACTGTCAGATAAAGTGTACAAAGGTCCCAGGGTAATTTATTTCTACTATGAGTGTGTTTTAATGTGACGTTAAACTGCTTCACATTCAGATCTTGCCCTGCTGTCCATGTTCAGCAAGTGAGCCTGATGTTATATTCATGACTTAAACCACAAGTTATGTCCATATACTCCTGGCAGTCATAATGCACCATCTGTTTGTACGGTCATTGCACCTGGGACTACAGCGGGAAATGCCTGAGGTCTTTATTATGTATTTAATGTAATGAAGTTACCACAATCTGCTACTTTTGGGGATGGAGAAAGTTTGATGTGTGTGGTAGTTTGATTTAAAGGGCCCATATCAAGCTATTTTCTGATCTATGCTGTCTATAATGCTGTTTCCTCATCAAAAACATACCCTGCTTATTTAGGCTGAGTTCTTCTCTCAAACAGAAAACACTCTGTTCCACCTTGTGATGTCATTTGAATGCAAGAAGTGCTCCACTGTGTTTTTTAAACTCTATACAAAGTTAAACGGTAGCTGTTAACTTCAAATGTGAAAACTACTAAGGGTTACTCCAACATGTGATTGAAAAAAAAAAACATAACACCAGGTACATTTTTGATGAGGTAACAGCATTATAACATGACTTAAAGCTCACAAGAGTTAGTTTTTCATTATATACAACCTTTAATATTTGACATAAATTTAAAGGTCGACTGTGTAACTTTTCTGATTGAGTCTGTCACCTCCATGATGTGATGATATTCCTTTTCAAACCTGGGCATTGTCCAGCTCTCTGGCCACATAAAGCCCTTTGGTTGACTTTGGTTGGCGCGTTTACACTCATTTGGAATTACAAAATAAACATATATTATAATTTTACCTCATGCATAGTCTAAAGCTGCATTGCTTTTTTTTAGAGGTGTTTTTAAAGGGACAGTCTGGAACTTTGGACATAGGACCTCATTTCCTAGTGAGACAGAGCGCTGGAGACGTGTGGAGACACTTTAAAAAATATATATATTCCATCCAGTCCTTGTATTTGCAGAGGTCACTGGTGCTAGGCTAGTGCATGTCAATGGCCACTGTTAGCCTGCCACTAAAAACAGTCTTACCCACTCCACAAAACACCAGATGCAAATCTATTATTACACCAGACTGTTGATGTAAATGTCTGTGATGATAGAATCATTTTAGACGTACACAACAAAAAGTGGAGTGTTAAAATTTACTCTCACAGCATTAATTTTAACATTTTCTCAGAGTTTATATGAGTCCAATCTGTTCTACATTTTTGGAAATGTTAATTAAATAACACTGGACTGAAGTTCCTGTGTAACCCCGAAATCCAGAGTTATATTCACATTTTGAGAGTAAACAGATAACACTTTGTAGAGTTATCCTGATTTAGCTAAACAACACAAAGGCATTTTATTTTATTTTTACTTTATTTTAGTTTATTTAATATGAAATTATGTACAAAACTGGTTCAAACTGGTCTTCTCTCACAAGAATTTGAAGTGGTGGGTGGGAGGAGCCAAATTAACACTAAAGGAAGTTGAATTAACCTCAACCATATCAACTCTGGCAAACAACCAAAACTCGAACCCCCATTTAAATTTCAAATAGTTAAAATAACACTTTTGGTGTTAAAAACAACTCTGAAATACTTTACCCTAAAATTTTAACCCTCCAGTTTTTGCTGTGTAAACCAACTTTGCATTTGAAGGATTTATGCAGCAAGTTGTAGTTCCTGATAGAAAACCTGCTAGTGATGGATTGTTATCACTTGGCACCTATCTTACAGGCAAAGTCAAATCCCACCGCTACTGAGAAAATAGTCCCTCAACATGCGACTCTTCATGTGATGCAAGGTTAGTTTTATTTCAACCATTATTCTATCAACACAGACATTCACATCGACAGTCTGGAGTAATAATAGATTTGTTTTGGGTGTTTTGTAGAGTGGGTAAGACTGTTTTTAGTGGCAGGATAACTATGGTTGTTGACATGCACTAGCCTAACACCAGTGACCTTTATTCCGGACTGTCCCTTTAATGATATTTATTGTAAGGCAACCTCACTTTTTCATTGCTTAGTCATGATATATACGCTTACCAGTCTTACCAGTTCATCAAAACCATGTTATTTACTGCTTTTTATAAAGAAATACCCTAACTGTAATTAATATAATTTAGAATTGATTTAAGCATTTTGGCCCAGCCCTCCACAATATTTTCAGTTTCTCATGTGGCCCCATGGAAAAAATAATTGCCCACCCCTGATCTATCACCGTGGAGACAAACCACTAGACCAAGTTGTTTAATCTACCAAAAGGGAACTACTACTACTACTACTAAATCCAAACACCCAAATCAATCTACTACTACTATGGTTTCTTTGAGCTTTAATCTTATCTCAACTTACTTCAGTTGTACAATGTAAAAAAAAACAAAAAAAAACTAGAAGAATAGAAATTTAAAACATTTTCACTTTGCAATCCCTCAGTCAAAGCACTGACATAATTGTAAGTACTCACTGAAATTACTTTGAAAAGAGGAGGGCTCATTTATATGCAGTTATCCTGCTCCAAATTTGAAAGTCAATCAGACACAATTACAGGCAAAAAAAAAAAAAACATTTGGTCTTTCATATGTGATTTTACTTTGAACATGCAACACCTTCCACGTCACAATGAATCATACAGACAGAGACAGAGAGAGCACATACTTGTTCACGGGAGAGTAATGATAGGAAGTCAGATGATGGGAGCTGGAGAAGAGACACACTGATTGCAAATGATTATGTCTCAAAGTGCTAAAAAGACGAGCTGGATCATGTCAGCAGCAGCTCACAAGATTTATGTAGAGTTAAACAATTTCTCTAAATCTCTGTTTTTAAAAGTTGCATCTACTCTTCAATCATAAACTAACTAACAAAGCTATTGATCAGCAAATGGGTAAATTTATTCACAGAATGTAAGTATTTTGATATTTAAAATATGACTGTTGCTTTTTTTTTGCCAGCTTAAAGGTTCACTGTGTAATTTTTCTTGTTTGTCTCCACAGATATGTTATTTGCTTTGCCTGGATAGTTACACAATATGGAATCAGAGTTATCTATCTAGCATGTGTTTGATTCGACTGCACATGTTTTTAATGCTTAAGAAACCTATATCACACTATTTTCTGATCTGTTATAATGTTGTTTCTTCATCAA